TTTTTTTACAGAGAGGAAGGGAGAGGGATAGAGAGTTAGAAACATCGATGAGAGAGAAACATCCATCAGCTGCCTCCTGCACACCCCCTACTGGGGATGTGCCCGCAACCAAGGTGCATGCCCTTGACTGGAATTGAACCTTTGTTCTATTCTTAAGCAACACTTCAACTTCTCTCCTACCTTTTGCTTCCAGACTTCTCAAGGAAGGAACTAACTCAAAGATGGACTTCACAGTCTTCCCCACATTTACACCTCAGCATTCTGAAATTGAACTCCCACCCCTACAAACACTGCAGAGTTACCAATGACCTCTTCTTTGGCAAGTCCAAATCTCTCAGTCTTCTATCCATTTAAATGCTGTTGAGTGACACTCCAATTCCCCACTTCCCACCACCTTCTGTACCTGACTCTGGAAACAAGTGTCCCAATTCTCTCTTTTCCCTAACTCTTCCTTCCCACCCTCTTTAATGGCTGTGGACCTGCAAACAAAGCTGCTTTTCAGTGTTGTGTCCTCATCACTCTACTACACCAGGAGTGAGCAATCTTTTCTTGCATGAGGTTAAAGAGGAAGGAGAATACATAAATATATAGCTTAAAAATTCATCCATATCTTTATTTATTTATAATATATTTAATAGAATAATAATCAGAGCACGGACACTACATTATGGCTCCTAAAATATTATGCAAGACATAACTGCAATTTAACTAGCAACATGGAAGTAACTTTCCAATCTTTCTTCTTGAAGGTACCCTAGACATTTTGGCTCAGTGGACAGAGCATTGGGCTGTGGACTGAAGGGTCACGGGTTCGATTCTGGTCAAGGACACATACCTTGACCCTAAGGCATCAAGTTTTTAGTTTGACAATAATATAGAACAAGTCTAAATTTTTCTAAGAAGTTCTTATTCTAAACATTAGATCTATAATAGCTTTAAATTTAAGCAGCAGTTAGTAAGTCAGGTTCCATAATAGAGGTAGAGTCCATAAAAGACAGAGTCCACAAAGAGAATGTTGTTTTCCATAGTGGCATTCATTTTCTTAAAAATATGGCTTTACTACCACCTCACTATTTTCATACTCATCTCAAAATTGGTTTTGTTATCTTAAGGCTGGTTGAAGTGAGATGTATGGGTGGCTATCAGTGGTCTTAAACTTTAGAGGTCTTTAAGAAGTCTATCATTGAATGCCTAATTAATTTAAAACATGAAACCTTGACTAACATCTACACTGTATTAAAAATGCATATAGAATCTATAGAAAGAAGATGGCAATAATGCTCCGGATGGGGAATACATGGAACTTTTAATGCATTCACTCAATCTGCCCCTTTGAGGCATCACTCCGGGACTGTTCTAAGTGCTGGGAATTCAGCAAAGGACAATAAACCCTGCTTTCATGTAGTTTACATCCTAAAGAGAAGAAAGATAAATTAAACAGAACAAATCCACAGATTAAACAGTGTATTGGAAGTGATGCCCTAAATCAGCGGTTCTCAACCTGTGGGTCTCGACCCCTTTGGGGGTCGAACAACCCTTTCACAGGGGTCGCCTAAGACCATCGGAAAACACATATATAATTACATATTGTTTTTGTGATTAATCACTATGGTTTAATTATGTTCAATTTGTAACAATGAAATTGGGGGTCACCACAACATGAGGAACTGTATTAAAGGGTTGCGCCATTGGGAAGGTTGAGAACCACTGCCCTAAATGCTAAGGAGTAGTGGGTTGTAATTAAAATTGGATTATCAGGGAAGGGCTCACAGAGCAGATGGCACCTGTGCAAAGGATGTGAGGGAGAGAGGGTAGACATCTGGATGGATATTTGCAGGAAGGATGACTCTGGTCCAGGAAACCAGTGTCGCTGGAGGAGGGACATGAGAATATGAGCTCAGAGAGGTCTCAGGGGACAGATCCTGTAGATCTAGAGGTTTTTGCCTTGAGGTGTAGAGCAACTGGAGGGTCTTGGGCAGAGAAGTATATGATGAGAGTTGTTTTAACAGGATATCCTCATTCCGGCTGAGGCTTTGGAAGTAGCCAGTAGCAGTAGGGGCTCAAGGGTAGAAGCAGGGAGAGCAATGAGAAATGGTGGCAATAATCCAGGTGAGAGATGATGGTGGCAGACCAGCGTGGCATTTGCTATGGAGAGGAGTAGAATTCTGAATATATTTAGAGGAAAGAGTGGCTACTTCAATAGGGAATAAAAGGAGAGTTAAGGACGACTCTTGATGTTTTTTCAGCCATGGGAAGGGATGTGGTTACCATTTCCTGAGATGGGAAGACAGGGCAAGTAGCAGGTTTGGGCAGGAAGATCAGGAGTTCAGATTTGAGTGAATTGGGTTTGAGTTGTCTATTATCATCCAGGAGGGAATGCTCAGTTGGTGGTCTCCTTCCCACCTTCCCCTACCTCCCCACTCCCTTATAATTTCAGAGGCTGTAACCTATATGAAGGTATGCACCAGCCCTCCAGTAACTCCACTGGCTGAGCCTTGCATTCCATTACTGATTGCTATGTGATCGTGTATGGAGCACATTTGAGCCATTTGTTTTATCAGAGGAAGCCATTTTAGTAATTATTCCAAGGCCGCTATTGGCCAGCTGTGATCTTTAGCAGTTGGCTGTGAGAGTGTGTAGTTCAAAGGAAAGTCTCACCCTGCAGATACAAATGTGGGCATCATTAGCTTGAAGCTGGTGTGTGAAACCATCAGATCAGCAGAAGAGTGAATTTAGAAAGTGTTAAAGAAAAAAAACCTACAAGCCCCAAATGGCATCACTTTTGCTAAAAGCCCACGATGCCAAACCTAGATTTAAATCTTGATCTTACTGCAGTTTCAACTTCTCCCAGAAACATAATCTTTTTTTTTTAATCCTCACCTGAGGATATTTCTTCCATCGATTTTTAGAGAGAGAAAGATAGAGTGAAACATGTGAGAGAAACACATTGATTGGTTGCCTCCTGCACGTGGGTCCCAACCAGGCCCCTGGCTGGGGAGGAGCCTGCAACCGAGCTAATGACCAAATGGGGGACCTTTCAGTCCGTTCTGTCCACTGAGCCAAACTGGCTAGGGCCAGAAACAATCTTCACCACCCCTATGGAATTTTCTGGTCAAGCAGTGAAGTAATCTGTCACATGGGCCTGCTTTATCCCCCATGGAAAGGAGAGGCAATTTACATAATAGAAATTCTTCCCCCCAAAAAAGATGTCCCAGCTGCCAAATCCTCCCTTTCTTTCCATAATAGCTCCCTTGTCCCACTCTCCTACCTATGAGACACTTTCATTTTGTACAACGCCACCCAGTGCCCTTCTAGTTGATAGGTGGGATGCTGCCCCACTCATACATCACTTCAATAAAGCTGTTTAGATCTTCAAATTTACTAGATTGAATTTTGATTTTTAACAAAACAATGTGTATGATTCTTAGCTCACAGGGTGGTATTGTGAGGATCAAATCGAATGCATATGTTAGCGACCAACAAAGAAGGCTTCTATTTTTATTAATCAGCCCACCTGTGGGAGCTTGTCCCTGGGAAACAACCAGTCCATACCTCATTTTGCTACAACCATATGTGAATGGTCCACCTCCCGCATGGTTCAGGGTTTGGGCTCTGGAAGAGGGGCCGCACGCAAAGAAAGAGACAAGAAATAATAATTTGGAAATTGGGGGGCAAAGTGAGAGCCCATCCCAAGAGGAAGGACTCCACTTTAGCTCAGACCTTGCCATCCTTTTATTCAGCTTGGGATACACCTATAGCATTTAGGCAGGCAAGTTTCAGTAACAGACTATCTTATCAGTAAGGATTTACATGACTATCTGGTGGGGAAGTTGCTTCAGCTACCATTGTCTGGATTAATCAGTGGGCGCATAGCCCTGACCTCTGCCAGGGCATCAAGGGTCACCAGCATTCAGGGCTCCTTGTCCACACCTCTCTGCTAGGGAAGACAATAGGCGGTTTCCCACAACCACACACCTGGAAAAGAGGTCCAGGAAGCAGCAACGACTGGAAGTGGTTGAGATGACTGGCATTTATAGAGGGATGGCTCTCTGTCCAATCCTTTGAGGCTGAGGCTTGGGGAGGCTAAGCGCCCCAACTGGTGGTCAAATAGAGCTTCCGCTATGTCTCCGGGTTTCCTCTCAATGCGCCTGCAGTGCACCCCGTTCACCCCACCCGCGCGCTGGGCTACCTTTCCAGCCGGAGCCCCCGTCCCGCGCGTCACCGCACCTCGGCCTCTCGGTGTCTAAGTTCCGGGAAGCTCCCG